CGCCGGGTGTTTTTCGCAGTTGCGGCACCAAGTCTTTGGTGCCACAATTTTTCAATGCTCCTGCTATGTGCTAGAGCATTGAAAGTCTTAATCAAGTGGATTGATTGAGCACCTAAGTCTCTCTGCAAGATGCTTGAGCCATTTAAGTCTCCTGCTATGTGCTAGAGTATTGAAAGTCTTAATCAAGTGGATTGATTGATCAAGAAGTCTTGAACTGTGATTCTAAGCAAAATTCTTGGGTTCGTGGAACCTGAGTAGGGAAGTCTTAGACCGAGGGTCTGAGCAGAAGTATTAGGTTAGTGGAACCTGAGCAAGGAAGTCTTGGACCGAGGGTCTGAGCAGGAAGTATTGGATTAATATAATCTAAACAAAAGTCTTGGGCCGGAGGGGCTTGAGCAGAAGTCTTGAACCTGAGGGGTTTAAACAAGAAGTCTCGGGTCTGAGGACCTGAGCAGTAAAGTCTTAGATTGTTGGTTTAAGCAAGGAAGTCTTAAGCCTTGGGGGTTTAAGCAAGAATTCTTGGGCTTAGGGTCTGAGCAATGTAAAGTCTTATGCTAAATGCATAGGAAATTGTAATAATGATTTAATCATAGTGAAAATCTCTTGTGATGCAAGGGGACTGGATTAATCTCAATTTAGGAGGAACCAGTAAAAATCTCTGTGTGTTTTGTTATGATTTATTTACTTCTGGTAACATTCTGCTTACACCAATTTAGATTCTGAACTCTGATCAGAAGTAAAGTAAGAAAATAGAAAACACAATTCAACCTCCCCTTATTGTGTACTTTTCCTCCTCTTCAATACCATGCAAAATAGTGGGGTTATATTACAAGCTGAATGCATGTACTTCTCTAGTTCTAAAGATAACAATCATGTACTAGCATCTAGAGCATACTTTGGGGTCGTTGAGAAGATTTTAGAGATTGATTATGTTGTTTTTAAAATGAATTTATTTAAGTGCAAGTGGATTAATTGTAAGAATGGTGTAGAAATCGATGAGTTAGGATTCACACAGGTCAATCTTCCATGGGAAATTTATAAGAACGAACCATTTGTCATGACAACTCAAGCAAAACAAGTTTTTTTTATGTCACTAATCCTTCTAGCACTAGATGGTAAATTGTTCTTCACGGAAATATCTTCCAAATAGTACTAATGAAAATCAATATTTTAACTATGATCCCCCTTGTTTCGCAACATATGTATGTCATTCATCTGAAGAAAATAATTTAGATGATGTGCATGCTATTCGTCTTAATCATGAAGACGAGTTATGGAAAAACTAGTAAGTAAATGTTTTATATCACTTAGTAATTTATAATTATTCATTTTACTCATTTTTATTTCTTTTACTAAAGATTTAATGTTGTTGATGATTATCTTAATTGGTTTCAAATGTTGTTCAAATTATAGGTGCTTAACTACCAGTGGCAAATCTTAGCATATAACTTTTGGACAACCTACAAGAGTTTCTATTTTGCTATTATTTTTGTTGGTTAATCATTTGTTTTAGTTTTGTTATAAAATTATAAGGCGTGTGCAATTTTGCATTTGAATTTGATGTAAACAATTAATATTTTGTTTCTGTTTGAGATATTGGTAAAATGTATAAGTTTTTGTTTCTGAAATCTGCAAAATATGATTCTATATTCTGTGATATGGTTCTGTAATACAGGTACAAACGAAGGTATAAAAAATAAAGTTATCCCCTTGGTTTTTAAATATAACTAAGGTAAAAATATTGCATTATTACCTCGGTTTTACTCAAAAACCGATATTTAATATTGGGCGCGCCATCTAATTTTGAAAATAATAAAAGGAAGATGCCGGGGATAGAACCCATGAGTAGATAAATTTACCCCTCAGTTATTCTAAAACCGAGGGGTAAAGTTGCCACTTTTCATGACGCCTTTCATTACCTCACCTTTGTAGCCGAGGTGAAATGCATTTTGTGTCATAGGGTTGAATGTGTTTTTTCTGAAGTGAAAGCAATGATATTTGCTTTCCAATAGTCATCATTTATCCCATACAACACAGGTGGCCTGTTGACTTAACCTTCATCTTTGGTGTTATCCATTTAAATAGAAAATATCTTCCTAGGAGCTTACCTAAACAGAACACTCCGATACCAATTAAAATTATGTTTTTGAGGAGATAGATGTTCGACATGATGTTGGAACAATTTTTCCAACTACTTAAACCAGAAAAAAGAATATGAAAAAATAATTAAACACAATAGAATGCAATAAAAACACATGAGATTAGTAACCCAGTTTAGTGAAACCACACCTAGGTCTAGGGGGCACTGTACCCAAGAAAGGAAATTCACTATTATAAATTAGTACACTTAATCTTACAAGAACCAATAAACCCTATGTTGTTCAAAGCCTCTTCCTAATCCTAGTGATTTTCTATTTAAGGAACCCCCTAAATATGAGAACCTACCCACTTTCTTCTCAATCACACAACCCGTAATTGGTGTTTACAACTCAATAAATAATTTGGAATATTACAACTCAACAAAGGCAAAACTTCTATGCCAAGCTACTGAGTCATAGAGGTGTACACAAAGGTTAAACATTAACCCTATTAAGGCATTAGCGTAGAATACAAGACTCACAAAACTTAGACACTTAGAATTTAATCTAGCGTACAAAGACCTCATCAAACAATGAGAATTGAGCCTCCTTATATAGAAATGCCTTTTGAACTTTTTCTCCTTGTGGACCTACATTTTATTTGTCCATAAAATATTTAAATCTATTGGATATGATTTGCTCCTCAAATCTCTCCAAAAAAAGAAATGATTTTCACTAATTCAAATTTAAATCACATTTAAATTTGATTTGAACATCTCAAGATGTCAAATAAATCAACTAAACATTTCTAAAATAATTGCATCAAATCTGATTAATAAAAATTAGAAAAACATGCAATAAACAACAACCAACATGGCCCGCTGTCAAGGAAATATATTGTATAACATATGTTGGAACATTGAGTTTAACATGTTTCACCAATACATCAAAATCAGCTCTTCTCATTGACTTGCCGACCTTCTATCGTGAAGAGAATCTTGGATAGACAAAATCTGAATCAACTGTAATTTTCATTTGTCTATTGCCAAGAGACCAGATGTTACAACCCACTGTTGAATGTCAAATATGACTTAAATTGGATCATCTTTCTTGGCTTTTTTCAATTCATTACTTGTGTTTCAATTGAATTATTCCATAAAAATGTGTAAATCTTCAATATAATTGCATATACCTTTTGATTTCTTGATTTATGTGTTAATGTGTAGGAATTAGACTTGAACTTCATAGAAAAAAGGCACAAAAGAATGGAAAAGAAAGCCAAAGAAAAGACGATGAAGCCAGTGGTCGCTGTGCACGTTGATAGTGAAGTGAAGGTGAGAAAGCTAAAGTGAAAGCGAGCCAGAAAAAAAGTTGCCAGTAGCTTTTGGCCTCAGTGGTCACTGTGCGAAGCCTAGGCGAGATATCTCGTAGTGCGAGCTCAGATATTTCTGAGGGACGGTTTAACTGTTCTAGAGGCACTTGAAGTGCCTAAAAAGGGAGCCCGTTGTGCGAACTCGTACATAATTTGGGAGATATTTATGTATTTTTCTTGCTTTTTAGGGATTAATTCTTTCCAACTTTTAAACGTTATTTTACAAAAGCATTTCCTTGGAGCACAAAAACCCTAAGTTCTTCATTTCTTCATCATGAAGTGATCTTCATCAAATAGAAGCTGGATTCACATCTATTATCGATTCTTCATTGTAGATGCACATTCATCTTCTATATTTCCTTGTGAAGCAAGCTACCATGGTGATGGGTAGCTAAATTCTTTGTATCAAGGGTAGATGTAGTCTTCCTTGATCTTGTATGTATTTTCTTTAATATTTTGTATGTGAAAAAGTTGATGATTAATATATGGTGAATATCTTTATTCTTAATGATATATCTTTGATTTGAATCACTCTAGACATAGATTTTCCAAAACATGATCTAAGATATTCATCTATCAATGAACAAACTATAGACATATATTTGTGAGTTGATATTTTCTCTGTATCAATATTAAACATTATTATATTGGTTGTTAGCATGAGACATCATCTTGTGATGGATACAATAATATTCACGAAACCGCTTTAGACATAAACGATATTGAGAGGGTACATGATTATATTGATCGAAAACAAATTCACATGCTTGATTAATCGAATATATGCAAGTTAGGTTGATGAAATCTGTTCTTGATATGCTTTGTTAAACAAACATCTTTCAAGCTTTACTCTTTGCTACTAAAACTTGTGATACCAAATAAAACACCTTTGAAAATCTTACTTAAAACTCTTTGAACTATAGAATGACAAGTGATATCAGAACAATCCCTGTGGAGACGATAAAATAACTTTCACCACCTATTATACTTTCAACGCCCACATTTTGGAACATCTTATGCAACATGTGTCCCTTCTGCACCAGAACTAACTTGAGCAAACTCCATGTTGTTTTGCATAATGCAACAAATCCCAAAAGGACTAACAAGACAACTTTGAGTGACAATAAGAAAAATATATTTGACTAATAATGAACATTGAACGTTTCTCTTAAACAACAACAATAAACAAAGCATAACAATATAACATAAGAAGAGTGAACGATGAACAAATAAATAAAATGAGTAATATTTATAATCACACGAGAAGGCAAAAAGCACATAGAAATCAACATATTTACGGAACATATTAAGCAATGGTTGGTGCTCAAAACACATCGACTGCTCCACTTTTAATATAAAAATGCAAGGTTGAGTACATAAATAAGAGACATTAAAGGCAGAGGCCATCGTCGACAAAGTAATGCAGAACACCAAAGGCTCATTAATACGTCAAAATATTTTAAGAAAACACAACAAATTAAAATTAAAATATCCCACCTACACATCATTGACATCCAACCTGACCAAAAATTAAAATCAAATAATCGCATCTACATAAGAACCAACTTTCCGTCCTCTACGAACTTAAGAGAGTCAACTTCAGAAACATCGATGTTAGGGTGAAGAAATCTGACTTGCTTTAGAGCAACATCAAAACCTTCTAGATACTTAGTCGCACAATCTATTTTCAACTTATAGATCTCTTCATTATGCACTTCCATCTGTTTCTTTGCATCGATCAATCTGTCTAATAAGAACTTGACCTCTTTTTCCAACGATTCAACTTTCGCATTCTTCTTCTTCTCTACTTCAGCATAATAGCTAAGCTCATCCTTGAACTTCTTCTTCGAATTCTCTAGATCAGCTTGGAGATCATCAAGATACTCAAGAGTAAAGTCCATTTTCTCTTTTTCTTCTTTCAAATAATCTTTAGCCTCTTTGAGTTCTTCTTTGGTTTTGTTGAATTCCTCTTGAGCAATTTTCCCAAGCTGAGACACTCTGAGACCATAAGCTACAATTGATGAATAATTTTTTTCCGGACTTATGGTCTCAAAGCCCTGAACACCACCCTTAAAACTAGGGAGGTCCTTCTCATGACAAATGGCATCAAAACTTTTCTCGCATGAAGAGACGATGACTGCCTCAGAAGAAGTGCCTGCAGAAATCTTGGTTGCTTGCTTCCCTAGGAATTTAGTCTCTCTTGTATGTGGAAGATCATGTTTAACCTTGTGAGTAACTTTTCCTTTCTCGGGTTGGGAAATCTTAATCGGCGAATTTGTAACGATAACATCAGAAGAAACAGAAACCCTTTCACTTGAAGATTCCTTGAGTTTTCTTTTCACACCTCTCGCTTCAAACAAAGAGGAAGTATAACGATATAAAGGACATAAATATAACAATATAAAAAGAGGGAGTGAATGGAGACTCAAATGTCACATCAATCGAATTTGTGAAGATTCTAATTATTGTGAATTAACTAAATGAAAAAAAATCACATATAAGGGATATGGAGAAACCACATATTCATCATTGCGTGTTTGGTTAAGTTGGCTCACTACCAAGAAGATGAAGGTTATAATTCTCGTATGTTTCATTTTTTCCTATTTTTTTTAAAGAAAATGGCAAAGGGAAAAAAGTTACCTATGACAATAGCATCAAGAACAGTGTTATCGATTCCATGACTAACTTCTTTGGCACTGGAAGACGATGAATACCCAGAACCACTTTTTTCAAACATTTTCTTTTCTCTCTTAATGGACTTGGAGAGTTTTTATCATATATATATATATATATATATATATATATATATATATATATATATATATATATATATATATATATATATATATATATATATATATATATATATATATATATATATATATATATATATATATATATATATATATAAACATTTTATATGCCCAGTGAACTCTCCAACAAAGATTATTCATAGTGTATACTTTGAACCTAAAACATGTTAATCTGAAAAAAAAGATAAGAACATAATTAATAAGGCTACAGAAGGAAAAATAAAAAGTACTAAGCAAAGAATTTATTGTGTTTCACTTTACTATTTTGAAAAGATATTGTTTTGAAAAATGACTATTTTTTATTTTAAAAAATGTGTTATTTTGAGAATAATTATTTTTAAATAAATCGGGTCAAAACCAATTATTATAAATATTTATATAAAATATATAAATGCATAAGCAATAAATGATGACATTGTATATCAAGCAAATAAAAAGTATAAAAACTATATATTGTATATCAAAAAATAAAAACCACTTAAATATCTAAAATTTATAATCGTTTTTGTTCTGGCCTGGGCCTAGTCTCGCGGCCCAGCCCAATAGCGCACAAGGCCCAATGAGTGGAGTAGCCTGGCCGGGCACACGCCCCCTCCCACCGGACGGACAGGACATGCTCCCCGTCGAGCAGGATGGCGCGCTTCTAAGCGTCCTCGGCGTTCCCCCTAGCCGGACAGAACACCCTCCACGGGCAGAATCCCTTGCCGACGAGCAGGACGAATGTCTCCCCCACTCTCGTGTGTTCCCCCCCCCCCCCCCCCCCCCCCCCCCCCCCCCCCCCCCCGCGGGGAGAATCACACACCTCCGAGGAACCTCCCGAGCTCCCCTCCGCGGGCAGAACGACGTGTCCCTCACACGTTCTCCACGTGCTCCCCCCCGCGGGGACACGTCACTATCCAACTGCCCACCTCCGAAAGAGTAGGTCAAACCCACTTTTCGGAGATCGCGGGACAATTGAACTAGGGCGAAGACCACGTTCTGGTCTTCACTACGCCACGTAAGCCCTAGCAGTCACCTGGGTTGGGCCTGGCAATCCAGCCCAACACATGTGACCGTTGGCCCATCGCTGGGGTCTCTCTATAAATACCCTCTTCCTCAAGAGGGTCATGTAATTCACTTACCCATTTTCTGTACTTTTCTCTCGCTCTGCTTACTTTGGCATCAGAGTGTCTTGCAGGTACACCCCTTTCTCCTCCTCATCACCGGTGAACAGGTAGCAGTCCAACAGAGTGTGGCCAACCCGTGATCCCCTCCTGATCAGGTCAGATCAGTGGCGCCGTCTGTGGGAACAGAAACTTCCCCGTTACTCCGAGCAGAAAACCAAAGTTTCACCAGTACTCCATGATCATGGCTAGCCCGCACAAACGCCATTATTTTCATATAAGCGGCCATGTCCCTCTCGTCGAGAGTCCCGACCCGCACTATATACCGGTCGGTACCGCGGTTGAAATGCTCTGAGGTCCACAGTAAATGCACCTTTGGGAGCCACGCGATGAACCGCTGGTCGTCCACTACTCGCTCCCCCTCGGTAAAAAGAGAGTCTGATCCTTCCCAGGTGATCGTCCGCACGAGGAAGAACCGACCCTTGAAGTCTCGGATAGAGTCGCTGTACGTCTTAAAAAGCTTGGTCGGCTGCTTAAACGAGACCCAACCCTGATGACCATTCACTGATTGACGCTGCAGGTGGAAGATGCGGAAAAATAAGGGCGCCGTGGCCTCGACCTCGAGAAAGTGGCATACCACCTCGAACGCGCGGATGAAGGCCAGGGCGTTGGGATGCAGCTGAGACGGGGCCAAACGTAACCAGTCAAAAAGACCCAAATGGAAGGCGAAGAACGACAACCTAAGCCGGGCCTCTTTAAAATAAAATTCGTGCATAGGAAACATCCGCCGCCCATAGCTCGAGCAGATGCGGTGGTTCTCCTTGGGACGATACACCTGCCAGTGCTGCGGCTCCCCCTCTACCCGATCCTCCACGGTAGCATAGGCGCCAGACGCATCGAGCGCGAAGCAAGAAGGGGTGGACAGGGGCTCTTCGGCCACCCACTCCTCGACGGGGAGAACCCGCTCGTCAAATTCTGGGATCTCGGGATCACTGTCTTCGACCATCGTCCCCGGTATCAAGGCCGACATGTACACCTGAAAAGTAGAGGATAACGGTGAATTCGATAGCCAGGATCAAATCCACCCTTCCACCGCAGGTCAAGTGAAAGGGCGACGACGGCGGGTGAGCGAGCAAAAGACGAGCATCCGGGCGGCCCCCGAGGGACACTCCCTGCCACTTCTCCACGGGGTATTCAAAGCTAACCTATCGCCCCTCCCCGGGGTACTCATCGGAGAATGCACCCCAGGGCATTCATCGGAACAATCGATCCTCCCCAGGGCATTCATCTAAACAAACCTAAAAAACCACCTGATACGGCGGAAACTCGCATCTCTCCTCGGGGCATTCATCGTGCCCCGACCACGGACCCAAATCAAACGGCGGAAATAAAAGAAGAGAAGAATAAAATTCACTTTGTAACGACGACGAACGGAGTACAAAACTAACGGCGCGGCGGCGATTCACAGCAACGGCGGACGGGGAGGAATCATAGAACTTCGCAGGTGAGAAAGCAAGGTGAAAAGTAAAAAATGCTCGGGGACCCCCCATATTTATAACCCGGCGGAGAACTCGAAGCGACACTAGGCCTTTGAGTGCCCTAGGGTAGCCGCCCTCGCGCCCACTCGGCGCGTGACACGTGGCGGTAACCTGACGGTCGCGTCCCTTCAGATGCCTCTTTCCCCGAAGCAACGACCTTAAGTCCTCGCTCTTTCGTCACAGAGCTTCGACTTGGGGGGCTCTTGTTTTGGCCTGGGCCCAGTCTCGCGGCCCAGCCCAATAGCGCACAAGGCCCAATGAATGGAGTAGCCTGGCCGGGCACACGCCCCCCCCCCACCGGACGGGCAGGACATGCTCCCCGTCAAGCAGGATGGCGTGCTTCTAAGCGTCCTCGACGTTCCCCCTAGCCGGACAGAACATCCTCCACGGGCAGAATCCCCTACCGACGAGCAGGACGAATGTCTCCCCCACTCTCGTGTGTTCCCCCTCCCCCCGCAGGGAGAATCACACACCTCCGAGGAACCTCCCGAGCTCCCCTCCGCGGGCAGAACGACGTGTCCCTCACACGTTCTCCATGTGCTCCCCTCCGCGGGGACACGTCACTATCCAACTGCCCACCTCCGAAAGAGCAGGTCAAACCCACTTTCCGGAGATCGCGGGACAGTTGAATTAGGGCGAAGACCACGTTCTGGTCTTCACTACGCCACATAAGCCCTAGCAGTCACCTGGGTTGGACCTGGCAATCCAGGCCAACACATGTGACCGTTGGCCCAACGCTGGGGTCTCTCTATAAATACCCTCTTCCTCAAGAGGGTCAGGTAATTCACTTCTTACCCATTTTCTGTACTTTGCTCTCGCTCTGCCCAATTCCTTACTTTGGCATCAGAGTGTCTTGCAGGTACACCCCCCTTCTCCTCCTCATCACCGGTGAACAGGTAGCAGTCCAACAGAGTGTGGCCAGCCCGTGATCCCCTCCTGATCAGGTCAGATTAGTTTTTAATGTGTGCTTCTATATAACAATATATAAAAATATATATAAAAGTAAAATGTGATTTTGATATATCCTATTTTTTATATATAAAAGAAGGAATACTTTATATGTTGATTAATTGTCTAAGAGGTTATATGAATAAGTAAAAATATATATAAAAACAAATTTGTATTGTATTAATATGTTTGTTTATATAATTATATTGTATCATTTCTACAAAATTTTATTATTTTTAACTATTTTAATATTTATTTTTTAGGCAAATAAATTATTTTAGAGTTTAATCGTTTTTATATATAGAAATTTTATTAACGGAGAATATATAATATAGTAGTTTTTAAATAAAAATATCTTTTTATACTTTTATTTTTGATATTATTCTCTTACAATAGTTTTTCTTTTATCTAATTTATAATAAAGAGAAATATTGCAGAAACATATTTTTCTTTGTTTAATTTTCTACTACGTGATTATGCAATATGTGATTATTAGTAAAGTTAGGAATATGTTTTATGTACTATGTGTTTTATGTATTGCGTAAGAAAATATAGTAATGTGTTTTATGTACTATGTGATTATTAGCAAAATTTAGAAACGGTTGATTTAGATGTCAAAATTATAATTAAATTGTATACCATCTATTTTTATGAATATTTTATACAAATGATTTTATTATTTACTATGGATTGATACAAATTAGACAATATACAAAATCATATGTATTATTGTAAATGAGAAGCTTACAAATCACACTTAAGTGTGTTGTTGGCAAAATCGACTGGATCATCTCGGTTGTATTATGTTGCAAAAACTAGTACCGAAGAACTATAAGTTTCTTCAATCCAATAAGTTTTTTGTGTTCCCAAAAGAAATAATTTTTTTGTAAGTTGAGTTTTTATATAACATATACAAGGTGATATTTGTGAATCAATACATCAATCATGCAGACGATTTAAACATTTTATCATATTAATTGTTGCTTCAATTAAAAGATTATTCATATGTTTACTGTCTACTCATAACCAGTAGTTTGTGAAATTATTTTCTCAAATAAAAGATCATGAATATGTATTATGATTTGAAAACTAGTATTGAAGAACCCAAATTTTCTTCAATTCAATTTTTTTTTTTGTGTCTTTCTAAAGCAAAATTAAAATATGAGAAGTTAAGTTTTTCATGACATTAATTGTTGTATCGACTAAAATATCGTTGCAAATATTTATTGTCTACTCACAACCAGAAGTTTGTGAAGTTTTCTCACACTAAGATCTCAATTTCTAAATTTTTCAAAACTTTCTTAATAAGTATTACATATGTTATTAAAATTGATA